CTTACCATGATGAGGATCTGTTGGGATTGATTGTATTTCTCATGAGTGCTCAGAAATGTGTTAGCCAGTAACTCTTCAAAGATTGCTCCTGCTCCATCTCGATTAGACACACGTGGGGACTTCTCGCTTCAGCCTCATGTCTCTAACTTCTGACATTTTTTTACCTCTTTGTGTCAGTGTTGCATTCTGGGTACTTTCTTCAGATCTCATATCCACGTCACTAACTCTCTGTAGTTGCGTGATTTGTTATGAAGTTATTTTTACTGATTTTTTCCCAATATCTGGATGTTCTGTAGTGTTTTTTGAATACTGTACTCATGTTTAACCTGCTTATTTTATATTGTCTGATCATTTCATTACACGGAGGAGTTTTATGTCTCATTCTGCTGTTATTTCGGTCAGCCCCTGCCTTCCTGAGCCAGCTTGTGTGTTTAGACATAGTATACTGTGAGCTGCTCCTTTTTCTTGCAACGTCACACCTGGGGCTCTATCGGCCTGGAACTAAGGGGAGACCCCCCCCCGCCCGAGGATTTCTCTGCTTCTCTCGTGGTGACAGTGTCAATTTGGGGCCAGGCTCTGTTCTCTGCTTGAGGTTTTATTGGCTCAAAACCAAGTGAGGGCCCACCCCTGATTACAGGTTCTTAGGGGATTTTTTTTTCCTGCTCTGCTTAGGACTAACATTTATTAAAACAAGCAAGTTTCCTTGTATTTTAGTTTTGATTCACCATTACATTGAAGGCATAGCTTTTGGGGGGATCAGCTTTCTGGGGGTCACCTCCTTTTGGATGCCGTACTTTGGGATGGCCATTCGAGGCAGTGAGACTGACTGCTAGGCTCGGTGGACTCCGTAAATGGCTGAGGGAGAAGCAGACTTCAGAGTGCGCGCGCGCTCTCTCTCTCTCTCTCTCTCTCTCTCCCTCCCCACCTCTCGTGGTTCCCACGCCCACCTGGTTTCTGGCCTGCCTGTTGGTGATCTTTCCCGCTAATGGGTGCCTTTAAGGGGCTCTGCAGTTGTGTCAGGCACTAGTCCACCATATGCCAGGAGAGTCTTCCTTGAACTGGTTGCTATGATTTACAATGAAAAGCTTCCTGACAGTGACTCATCCTTGCATTTCTGTGTAAACCCAACGTGGGCATAGAGTTACCAGTCTGATTGTGGCTGGATTCCGTTTGCTGTTGTCGTATTTGGACATAGGAAGATTATATTCTTAAGTGAGACGGAACTACAGATTTAGTGCTGCCTTTATCAGGTTGTGCCGTTAAAATCATGCTGGCGAGCGTCGTAACAAGGGTGCTCTTGTCGCCCTGTTCTCTGTGCTGCACGTTGACGTTTTCCTCTTTAGTGACCTCTCCTCACCCTCATGCTGAGCCCCACCCGCCCTTGGAGATGAGGAACCTGGGCCTCCTCCCTGGGCCTGTCGGGGGCAGTGACCTGGACTCGAGTGTGGAGGAAGCAGGAGTGTCCTGGCCCGGGGTTCAGCTCTCCCCAGTTCTGTCTCAGAGGCCCTGCTCCCAGACCTGAGACTCATGCGTTCAATCCCTGTTTAAGGAGCACTTGCTATCTGCCCGGCCCTGGGGATGCTGCAGTGTAAACACAGACAAGATTCCCATCTCGTGACGCTCACAGCCCACGAGGCTGGGGACACGGTCAGCCGGCAGCATCCGTGCTGTGCCCGCTGTGCCGGGTGCCGTGGGAACAGGAAGCTGTGGGGGGTGGTTCCCACATGTCGGTGTCTGCAGGTCAAGTC